CGGAAGTGCTAATAGAGCGATGCCTGAAACTCACAGAACCATAAAGCAAAGTCTAAAATTTAACTGTTGATTCGTCATGCTGGACTGGAAGCTTCCTGTGGAAAATGTTACAGGCTGCAGTATAGATTAAACCCTGTTCTTCCATCAAGTCTAGATTCCTGTACCTCACAGAATCACGGGATTTGTAACTGTATTTGAAATTTGAAAATTGAAAATTGTAGTTGAAATTTGAAAATTGTAGTTGAAATTTGTAGCTGAAATTTGAAGCTTGTATTTGAAATTTGAAATTTGTTACTTGAAATTTGAAAATTGAAAATTGCAGTTGAAATTTGTAGTTGAAATTTGAAAATTGTAGTTGAAGTTTGAAGCTTGTATTTGAAATTTGAAATTTGTATTTGAAATTTGAAGCTTGTCTTTGAAATTTGAAGTTTGTATTTGAAATTTGAAGTTGAACCTTGAAGTTTGTATTTGAAATTTGAAGTTTGTATTTGAAATGTGAGATTTGTATTTGAATTTTCAAATTTGAAATTTGTATTTGAAATTTGTATTTGAAGAGATGGCTGCATCTTTTTCCTGGATTTAGAAATTAAAGTCAGTGTTGTCTTATGAAACGTGAGCAGAAAAGGAAATGTAGCAACCGGTTTTAACCTAGGGCTTCAATGATGAACCAGGGTATTTGCTCACTTTGGAGAGTGACCACATCCTTATCCTTCCAGACCACAGCTGCAATCTTGTGTCCAGTTTTGGGTGAAGAGATGGCTGCATCTTTTTCCTGGATTTAGAAATTAAAGTCAGTGTTGTCTTATGAAACGTGAGCAGAAAAGGAAATGTAGCAACCGGTTTTAACCTAGGGCTTCAATGATGAACCAAGGTATTTGCTCACTTTGGAGAGTGACCACGTCCTTATCCTTCCAGACCACATCTGCACTCTTGTGTCCAGTGCTGGGCCCTCAGCTCCAGAAGGACAGGAACTGCTTGAAAGAGTCCAGCAGGGCCACACAGATGAGGAGTGGATCCAGCAGCCATGGCGAGACAGTGGCCTTGCCATGTTTCCTCACCATACAAGCACTATCACTTGGAGCAGTGAACACTGGGGAGCATCTCCTGCTGAGGAGCGGCTGAGGGAGCTGGGGCTCTTGAGATTGGAGCAGAGGAGCCTGAGGGGTGCCCTCATTCCTGGGGATCCATTTGGAAAGGGCAGTGTCAGGAGGAAGGAGCCAGGCTCTGCTCTGGGATGTCCAATGCCAGGACAAGGGGCAATGGGCACCAAGTGGGAGCCGGGAGGTTCAAGCTCAGCAGAGGCAAAACTTCTTGGTGGGAGGGTGCAGAGCATGGCCCAGGCTGCCCAGAGAGGTTGTGGAGTCTCCTTCTCTGCAGACACCCAAAGCCCTGGCTGTGTTCCTGTGTGACTGCTCTGGTGCCCCTGCTCTGGCAGGGGTTGCACTGGGGGAGCTCTCCAGGTCCCTTCCAACTCCTCATGTTCTGGGACTCTGTGAAGAGCCAGCTCAGGAACAGGTACCATACGTATGCAGGTAGGACCTCTGTGCTTATTCTTGGATGCACACCCAGGTTTCCATGGCAACAGAACAACATCTCAGATAAGAGCCTAGGGCGAAGGAACACGTCTGCAGTGCAAATAGTGGTAAGACTCACCAAGCTGCTAGGAAAATTTGCCACAGGAAGAGGCACCTTTAGAGCACAGGATTGTTCCCAGAAGGGTTGAACATCACTTAATAATGAATGATGAAGTGCAGCAACAAGGCAGAAGCTGTAGGTGTCTGAAGTCCATGGGTTTTCCTTTAGGTTCAGAACGCTGTTTCTGTCGGTCTTCTTGCCTGCGGGGCACAGGTTCACACTGGTAAGTAGAGCAAAACACCTCCTGAATTCATTAGGCCTATCTTTTGTGATGTGAATTGTTGAAATAACAGGAAATGGTAGTATAATTATTTGAATATCTGTTCACACAGCGTGAGCACTGTGCCTACAATCACACACTATGAATTTGCTGATTGTTTTAAGCAGTTCTTTCAAGAGAGGATTCAGGTTAATGTGCAACTTGACGTCTTAAAGCTGCTGGCCTACCTGCAACGGAAGTTAAGTTCCCAACAGATACTAAAGGAAGGAGAACGCATCAGTGTTCATGATTGTCGCAGGCGTAATTAGAAAATAAAGAAGCGAAGAGCGCTTTGCACACTGAATTTCTGAAGTACTTATTCAAAGGAGGAAAAGTGCAATCAAGACTTCAGACCTGGAGAGAAATCCCGTAAGTCTAATGGTTTTAATGAACAGTTGTAATTAAACTTACCGTGTCCTAATACAGCTGGCGGCTCTCCTAAAGGAAAATACGCAAAATTCAAGTAGATAGGCGGACAAAATAGAATAAATGCACTAAAATCTTCTGTCATACCAATGGCAGAACAGCTTCCAAGCTGAGAATGTGGCAGCTGCTCAGGAGTAGAGTGGGAGACGTAAGAAGCTGTACAGGAATTAGTGCAGTTGTGTTTTGAGAAACAGCCCTGAAGACCCAGAAGGGTTTTACAACGGACAAGCAGCAGCGCTGAATCAACGCTGATTGTGTAGCTTTGGGGAAAGGCCATTGCAGAGCTGTACGAGTGTCAGAGGAGTTACTAAATCTGCAGAGAAAAACCAGGCCTTGCTGAATAAAATCGGCATTATACAAAATGTGGGGTTTTAAAAGCACGGACCTTTCCTTCTCCTGTGGTCTTCAGGGATTTTCCAAACAGCTGCTTCTGCCTTGCTGTTTCTGTTTTAGCGAGCAGCGCTTGCTGCTGGCCGAACGGTGCTGTCTGTGGGACAGCGGAGTTTGTACAGTGGTGTGTGTGAGCTATGCGTGTCCATGGAGATGTGAAGTCACAGGAGCAGCTCTGTTGCCAGATTCTAAGAGCTGTTACATGGCCGAGCACAGAGAGTGGTGGCGAATGGAGCTAAACCCAGTGGTGACCAGTCA